ATGGAACTGAGATATGAGGCCATGGAACTGAAATATGAGGACATGGAACTGAGATATGACGCCATGGAACTGAGGTATGAGGACACGGAACTGAGATATGAGGACATGGAACGGAGATATGAAGACATGGAACTGAGATATGAGGCCATGGAACTGAGGTATGAGGACATGGAACTGAGATATGAGGACATGGAACTGAGATATGAGGACATGGAACTGAGATATGACGCCATGGAACTGAGATATGACGCCATGGAACTGAGGTATGAGGACACGGAACTGAGATATGAGGACATGGAACTGAGATATGAGGACATGGAACGGAGATATGACGCCATGGAACTGAGATATGAGGACATGGAACTGAGATATGAAGACATGGAACTGAGATATGAGGACATGGAACTAAGATATGAGGACATGGAACTGAGATATGAGGCCATGGAACTGAGGTATGAGGACATGGAACTGAGATATGAGCCATGGAACTGAGATATGAGGCCATGGAACTGAGATATGAGGACATGGAACTGAGATATGAGGACATGGAACTGAGATATGAGGACATGGAACTGAGATATGAGGCCATGGAACTGAGGTATGAGGACATGGAACTGAGATATGAGCCATGGAACTGAGATATGAGGCCATGGAACTGAGATATGAGGACATGGAACTGAGATATGAGGCCATGGAACTGAGATATGAGGACATGGAACTGAGATATGAGGCCATGGAACTGAGATATGAGGACATGGAACGGAGATATGAAGACATGGAACTGAGATATGAGGCCATGGAACTGAGGTATGAGGACATGGAACTGAGATATGAGGACATGGAACTGAGATATGAGGACATGGAACTGAGATATGAGGACATGGAACTGAGATATGAGGCCATGGAACTGAGATATGAGGACATGGAATTTAGGTATGGGAAGGGGGTGAAGCAACGCTGCCCAATCACTTTGGTCATCGGGAATCGAACGTTGACCCTACAAGAAGTGAAAACGTTTGTGCCGAGAGTTCGTATTTCATTCAGTTGTGGGTGTTGAACCACCAGTTGTGGGTGTTGAACCACCAGTTGTGGGTGTTGAACCACCAGTTGTGGGTGTTGAACCACCAGTTGTGGGTGTTGAACCACCAGTTGTGGGTGTTGAACCTCCAGTTGTGGGTGTTGAACCACCAGTTGTGGGTGTTGAACCACCAGTTGTGGGTGCTGAACCACCAGTTGTAGGTGTTGAACCACCAGTTGTGGGTGTTGAACCTCCAGTTGTGGGTGTTGAGCCACCAGTTGTGAGTGTTGAACCACCAGTTGTGGGTGTTGAACCACCAGTTGTGGGTGTTGAACCACCAGTTGTGGGTGTTGAACCACCAGTTGTGGGTGTTGAACCACCAGTTGTGGGTGTTGAACCACCAGTTGTGGGTGTTGAACCACCAGTTGTGGGTGTTGAACCACCAGTTGTGGGTGTTGAACCACCAGTTGTGGGTGTTGAACCACCAGTTGTGGGTGTTGAACCACCAGTTGTGGGTGTTGAACCACCAGTTGTGGGTGTTGAACCACCAGTTGTGGGTGTTGAACCACCAGTTGTGGGTGTTGAACCACCAGTTGTGGGTGTTGAACCACCAGTTGTGGGTGTTGAACCTCCAGTTGTGGGTGTTGAACTACCAGTTGTGGGTGTTGAACCTCCAGTTGTGGGTGTTGAACCACCAGTTGTGGGTGTTGAACCACCAGTTGTGGGTGTCTGACCTCTGAACACAATTGAGATAAAACTTTCCTAATTATGAAATCTCTCCATTTACTTTCTCTAATGAACCGACATCAACACCTGTGTTTATAAATCTTGTATAATCTACACTACTGTTTCATATATATAACAAAAACAGTCTAATTAAGGCTTGGTTTTTATAATGAGTGTATTGCTAGTTGGAACATTTTCTCTCTCTTTTAGCAACATGAGAGAGAGAGAGAGAGAGAGAGAGAGAGAGAGAGAGAGAGAGAGAGAGAGAGAGAGAGAGAGAGAGAGAGAGAGAGAGAGAGGGTGGAGGGAAGGAAAAGGGTGACGTTTGAAGAGAGGGAATGAGAAAAGGGGCAGAAAGATGGAGAAAATAGAAGAGGGAACTACGAAGAGGGAAGAGGCGAGAGGATGCAAAATGGTGTTGGACGAGAGGAGGGAGAGAATTAAAGAGGAGAGGAGAGGGAGGTTGGCGGAGAAACGTAATTACGGGAGAAGAAGTGTAGATGAAGGAGAGGGGAAGAAAGTGGGGACCATGAACCACCATATATATATATATATATATATATATATATATATATATATATATATGTCGTACCTAGTAGCCAGAACGCACTTCTCAGCCTACTATGCAAGGCCAAATTTGCCTAATAAGCCAAGTTTTCAAGAATTAATTGTTTTTCGACAACCTAACCTACCTAACCTAACCTAACCTACCTTTTTCGGCTACCTAACATAACCTAACGTTTAAAGATAGGTTAGGTTAGGTTAGGTAGGGTTGGTTAGGTTCGGTCATATATCTACGTTAATTTTAACTTAATAAAAAAAAATTGACCTCATGCATAATGAAATGGGTAGCTTTAACATTTCATAAGAAAAAAATTAAAGAAAATATATTAATTCAGTAAAACTTGACTTATTAGGCAAATCGGGCCTTGCATAGTAGGCAGAAAAGTGCGTTCTGGCTACTAGGTACGACATATATATATATATATATATATATATATATATATATATATATATATATATATACACACAGAAAACCATATTTGAAAAAATTAAAAATGCTGATCGCGTTTACTGTCTATCTGACCTTACTCAGAGCAAGATAGAGTGTGAGAAGGGAAGCTGCGGTGGGCAGACCTGCCCCCCCCCAGTTGACAAGCCTCCAAGGAAGACAGCTCACCTGACCACAAGGCAATGAGAATGAAGCATCACTTTATAGAGGCAGAAGAAGGGGATGATTAAAAAGAGTGATCTAAAGGAAAAGTAAAACAAATGTTCCTTATTCTCATAGTGGAATAAAGAGACTCAACAGAAACAAAAGAGAGGGCGTTTAATCCCAAAAGTGCCGCAGGTTGGGAAACATTACAAAAAAAAGGCTAAATGTATGTTTTCACATTGTACTGACAATCAGTATTGCAGCTTATATGAAGATTAAATTTCTACATGCCAGGACATACATTGAGGCTGTTGTTACATTGTTTGACCAGGGATGACTCAATCAAATTTCGTTCAAAGAAATCCTTACCATGAGCGCTGCTTTTGGCCCCTCTGAAGTCGATAGAATGATCCCATAAACTGGAATGTAAATACAATGCACAAGAGTGCTGGGCTCTACAAATTGAATAAGAATGTTGTTTTAAACTTGACTAAATAGATTTGCCAGTTTGCCCGATGTAAACAAAAGTGCCCTTATTGTAAGGGATGGAGTACACACAGCCTGCTACACATGGGGCGAGTTCTTAAATAAAATGGACATACCCGTATTATTATTTCTGACCACTGGCTTAATATAAGGTTTTACAGGGCTGGGGCAAGTTTTTTAACCCTTCAAAATACGGTAAAATCAGTATTTACTAAATATTACTTAAAAATATTAACTAAATAAAAAATTTAATATTTTTAAGTTCCGGTTTAATCTTGGGAGTATGTGTGTGTGTGTAGAACATCCTCTAACCTTGCCCAAACGAGACTTCCAAGAAAGATTTTTGGATATTGCAACTTCCTCCCAATTTCATATATTTTCATTATTTCTTCATCAAAACATTCCGGGTTGCAACACACTCAGGGCTCTGAGGAACATTGCAGAAAATACTGCGCGCTTAACCTGATTATGGTGATTAGTTCAGCAACACGAACACACGCTGGTAAGTTTCCTATACACAGCGAATTTGAAACTCCTTCCTGTTCTATGACTCATGATGTCTGAAAAAGACTGAACACCTTTCTTTTAATTCTCACTTATGAATCTAATACATCAGCCAGTATTGTATTTAAAGTAATACATCAACCTGTGTTATATTTAAAAAAAATACATCAGCCTATATTATATTTAAAAATACATATACCTGTATGATGTAGACAGCAATATATATCCCGGAGCTGTAAGTTACCACTTAAACAGACCATCCGCTCGTAATAATCTCTTCACCTTTCAACATTTTATATACATTTGTTGCTCTCTGAATTGAAGTTGAAACTGAAATGAGTTTATTGAGGTATAAATACATACAAAGGAATGAGTTAGCTCAAGCTATTCTCACCCCGTTCAGTACAATGTGTTCATATATATATATATATATGAACACATTGTACTGAATGGGGTTATATCCTCGGTTCCTGTCCTGAAGCGGATGAGCTTCAAGAGATCCACAACCTTTGAGCACTCTTTGCATCAACCAATGTATATCTTGTAACCTTTAAGTATATATAATAAAGCAAAAAAAAATCATAAGGAAGGGGCACACCTGAGGAACACAAATGCGAACAAGCCTGAACGGTCTCCAGGCATATATGCATCTGAAAACTCACACCTCAGAAGTTTTGTCCGGTCGTGTTGGTCGAGTGGTTAAGGTGTCCTGTACGCCAGATGCAGAGTGCTCCTGGCAGTATGAGTTCGAGTCACTTCTAGGGTGTGAGTTTTCAGTTGCATATATGCCTGGGAACCGTTCAGGCTTGTTCGCATTTGTGTTCCTTACGTGTGCCCCAAAGAATGAGGTGATTTGATAAAATACCATGCCCAAGATTACCATCAGAGTGCCGGCGGGAAGATGGGGAATTAGCCTCGGCTACCATCCTCTTTTGTCCGGTCGTATTGGTCGAGTGGTTAAGGTGTCCTGTACTCAACATATTACCAAACATTCTGAGTGATAAACATGTACATTTCTTCTTTTACACATGCAGTATATTACTAGATGTACACACATACGTTTTGACTTGGTACACAGACAAATTTGAAATAGACATTCAGACAATTCAACAAAAGGTGAAAACTCCTGGTGCAAAATTCTTATATCTCTCAAGAATATCATCAACCTTTCCGTTGTGACACATCCAGGCTATTTGTTCAAGAACAGTCCTTATCTCAGTGTTTCTATAAACATTAATCAAGGGACAGTCAAGAACATAATGGGCCAGGGTGTGAGACCTTAACACACCACATAGTTTACACTTGGTGTCATTATCTTTATCATATTCCCAGTAATATTTTGTACTCAAGCCTGAGCCGCATGTGCACACTGT